CTTGGAGCTGGACAGTTTGTCTTACTGATCTAATCATATGGCCCATTATTGCTTTTAGTTTACTGATTTAATCATATGGTTAATTATTGCTTCTGTTCTATACGTGTTACAGTATGGCAGATGCATACCTGCACGTATATCGCAACAATAAGAGGAATGCCAGTTTCTTTTATTAGGTTGTATTAAAATTTTCCTAGATGTTTTTAAAAGCATAGGTCATAAATTAATCCAGAGATTAGGAAAATATCCTTTCCAGGATATTACGAAAACCCAAGCAAGTGGTGTATAATTTGCTTTAGATTGAAAATATGTGGCAGCTCCACTGTCCTTTCTTCTGAATTCATGTAGAGATTTTTGTTTATCATCTGCTTTAGGTTCAAGCCACATGGCATTATATCTTCGACCACATCAAGGCTCAACACTGTCCACTTGGTCTCTTGGAAATGGAACTCCCCTTGTTAATAGCTTGAATGGAGACTATTTTGTGTATTATTCACGTGGGCTCCATGCCAACCCCTGGCACTTTTGGATCGAGCTGAAGGTGAGTTTCTTCTTTCAGCATCCCATTAATTTCTTAGAACTCTCCTTTCTTTACTTAAATGGGTTGCCCTTTGGATACAGTTTATTAATTCATCTTCATCTTTTGAACTTAACACACAATTGCTTTCTAGTGCTATTAATTTGGATATGCCTTTTCTTTATGTGTCCTTCACATGACAAGTGTTTATCTTTCATTTCAAGAATACATTAAATCAAATATGCCCTTGAATATTAGATTCCTGCAACTGTAGCGCCAGCAGATAGAAATTAATCCTGTACTCCTGTATTTGCTTAGTTGAAACTCGCTGAACTCACATGGTGTTTCCAGATGCTCACTTAAGATTGTATAAATTATCTGTCATTGTCTTACTGACATGGTTATATTAGTAGATGCAAACGGGGTAGCGTATACTGTACTATTCATATATTACCATTGGTTGCAGTAAACCAGAGAAGCAAATTAGAATTTGTCTAGTACTGGAGAGAACTTCTTGAAAGGTGTGCTTATCTAACAGCAAAATTTCAAACTGCCTTTATGTCTATAAAATATGATCATTTTTTCTACCTAGATATATAGAGTCACGGTGGCTCAGTGACTAAGACGCTGAGCTTGTCGATCAGAAAGGTCGACAGTTTGGTGGTTTGAATCCCTAGCACCACGTAACGGAGTGAGCTCCCGTTATTTGTCCCAACTTCTGCCAACCTAGCAGTTCGAAAGCATGTAAAAATGCAAGTAGAAAAATAGGAATCACCTTTGGTGGGAAGGTAACAGCATTCTGTGTGCCTTCGGTGTTTATCATGTCGGCCACATGACCATGGAGACATCTTTGGACAGCACTGGCTCTTCGGCTTTGAAACGGAAATGAGCACCACCCCCTAGAGTAGGGAAAGACTAGTACATATGTGTGCGGGGAACCTTTACCTGATATAGAATCTGAATTATATTTTGATGTAGAATGGTATTGGCAAAAGAAAAACAACATAATTATCTTGATGTACTGCTCTATATGTTTGAATTAAGGTTCACTTCCTCAGGTTTTTGAATGGGGACTAAACATATTCTACACCCTTCTGACCCATAAATTAACCTTAACCCTAACCCCATAAAATGTAATTAATATAGGTTTAGGAATTTAGTTTCTTCCATTTTATTTGCTAGGTATACTACTTCTGCATTCTGCTTCAGGCTTAAATAACATTTTGTTTTGAAAACAGCCATTTTAACACCAGTTTCAGTGAGCATCTTGGAATTCTTTAAAACTTTGGTTTCTTCAGTTGATGATACTCTTTGGTTCCTTCTTTGCAAGCTTCGAATTCTACCATTACACAGTGCTGAATGAGAATAGGATTCAAATAATCAGACATGAGCTTATTTGCTTTTTTCTCTTTTTAGGGTTCGGACAAATCCACGAAAGGAATGGTCACCCTTGCCATAGCTAACCATTTTTTTTTTGGAGAAGATCAAAAGTCATCTCCGTTACATGCTTTATTGGAAAGATTTCCCAGCTGGATTTGTCCCTTAAGTTGGACTTCTACCTATGACCAGTTTATCTTTTAATCTAGAAATTACAAAGGTCAATTGTCTCTCAATTGTTGGATGGCACTTTTGTCCATAGGAAGCTTGAGTGACTCGGGAAAGATGGCATTCCTGACTGAAAGAAAAACTATGAGGAATAATTTAGCCTAAAGTATATTTCAATGGCAGTATTGATAAGACCTCTTTGGGGAAGGAGGTCTTTTGTTTCTTTATTGCAAAAAAAATATCACCAGTTTCTGCCACTTGAATAGTCCCTTCACCTGCTGACATTATAACATGAAACTGCCTTTTGGAAAATAGCTTTAGAACAGCTGTTCTTGGGTTTTTGCAATAAAAGGAGCTTTTGAACTGGAGCTACAAGCACAAAATAACATACTTTACTGCCTTTAAATAACACAAGTGCTGCCTTGTGCTTAATATTTTGATGTGTTCTCATTGACTAAAGAATTGTTGTAATTAAGCACCGTTAAGGCTATCATGAAGAATATGGAGCTGTTAATGGTAATTGCTGCAATAATGATACTCATTTTGAATGCACTATGTAAATAAAGCTCTTTTAATTATAATGCCAACAAACTTGATGGTCAATCTAACTGAATTCTTAAGTTTATGTGTTCCGGTTTTACTGTTTTTCCTTCTTTTTTTCTGGATTCTTTTATGCCTATGAAACAGTTGTGGGTTTCAAAAAAGTTTAGAACCTCTTCTGTAGGTGTGGCCTGTTTTGTAGGAGTAGCTTGGCAGTCATGTGCCAGCCAGAGCAGCTTAAAGGACATCAATTGGG